CTGCCCCGCCCCGTCCCCTCCTCGGCCTCACCTCCTCCCCCTCCCCGCCTCACTCAGGCTGCTCCAACCAGCACTGTCCTCCTCGCGGTCCTTCCCACCCGCCAACGCAGTGCTGTCCCAGAGCCTTTGCACGGGCGGTGCCCCCTCCTGGTGTGACCTCCGCCCCACCTGCGTGCCTCGCGCCCTCACTTCGAGTCCTTGTTCAAATGTCACCGCCTAAGTTAGGCCTCCCCTGAGCCCTTTAATTCAAATTGCCCCCTCTGCAGCTCCCCGTGCTCTGCTGTATCCTCTCTGTAAGTTAACCATACAGGCTCTCACTCCCGTCAGAACCCCTGCTCTCCTGGCTGCAGTCTCTCCTGCCTGGCTCACAGCTGGTGCTCAGCAAGCACCACAGAACGAATAAGTGGGTGAAGGATGCTCTGTAACCCCACAGCCCTCTGAAGCCTGACACCCCACCATCAGACATAGAGTTGGGCAGGTTGTGCACTGCTCAAGGTCACCGGCTGGGGGCCTCTGGCTTTGCTCTTGGGCAGGGCTGCTCTAACTGGCACACCCCCTTCTGTCGGCCACCCCCTGGTGTCGTCACGCCCCGGCCTTCACTGCCCCCCTTGGTTCTGCGCCTCCAAACCAACTTCGGGGACAGCAGCAACAAGGTTCTGCCGTTCGCCGTAACTTCTGGTCACTCTTGTTACTGGGTTTGTGCTGGGCCCTGGGCACGAGGTCACTACAATCCCCCCCCCCAACCCGGTGCCAGCCGTCATGTGATCAAGCAGGGATGTGAACCTGACCTTGTAGAGCGCTGAGCACTAATTCTGACTGCCCTGCTTGGTTACTTCCAGGGACAGGGTGCTCACTCCCTCTCCCAAGGTGGGCCGACGATGATGAAGGAGGGAAGGTTTGCAGTGAGCGTGCGAGCCTGTGCCCGCCTCCCGCCTCCCTCCTCCCGGGCCCCAGGAGCCAGCGGCGAGGTTGGGGGATGGAAGCCAGGAGGGGCGTCAGGTTAGAAACGCCATGCGAGGGGGCCCATCTTCTCGGGGAAGCTGAGCTTGATGCTGGCTTGTGACGGATGTGCCAAAGCAGAGGGGGCACCCGGCCCCACCCAGGCTCAGAGCTGCGGCCTTGGTCCAGCCGCCCCCACATAACCACAGCCCCCACCAGGTACTGCTGAGGTCGCGTCTGCATCCGACCTGGCCCCCTGACCTGGACCCCAAGGCCCCCCAGGGCTGACACTCAGCCCAGGACAGTGGCTGGACATGGGTCTGAGCCTGGGGCCAACCCACCGGCCTTCATCATGGTGGAGCCTTCAACCGTCCTCAGGGGTGTGTTGGAGATTCGCTTCTCTGCTCGGGGGGCAAAGGGGAGAGAGAGAGACAGATTCAGATGAGAAAACACACAGATTTCCCCCCCTGCAAGACATGTGGACACCCCCCGGATACATGGACTCCCCTCAGACATGAGGAAATCCCCCCAGGCACATGGACACCCCCCAGACACGTGGACACGCCCAGGCATGTGGAGACACCCCCCAGACACTTAGACCACCCTCCCACACACTCACCCAGATACCTGGATCCTCCCCCTAACACGTGCATGCACCTGGACCCCTCCGCACATGTGTGCATGCCCAGAACCCCCAAACACACATGGAATCGCTCCCCCCCAAAGAAAACACACTTCAGCCCCACAGTCTGTTGCCCACCTCTTTGACCCAAATGATTTTCACAAAATCCCTGAGAAGCCTGCATGGATTTTTTTTTTGTAATTATTAATTTTTAATTCCACAGTAAGACAAGGAGACATTCTCTCCTCATGAATACTTAACTCATGACAAATCAGGCTAAAGACACTTCTGGCTACCACCTCCAATCCTGGCTGGTGGCACTCTTTTCATGCTTTACACACAGAAATGGAGACGCTCAATATATATTTTAAAATATAACATGTTAAAGAAGTTTAATATACTTAGTAATATAGTTAATAAACTGTTACAGCTAACTGTACGTATTTAAATGCCACGTGAACATGTGAAGTGTTTGTAGATGTGTACACTATATACCTGTAATAAATTGGGGCGGGGGGCATAAAATGGGTGCCAGAGTTCAAACTTTGGGCTTTCTTCTTTGTTTCCTGGACGGCAGTCTTCTGCATCTGTGTGTGTGGGACCCTTGTCTTTTTATTTCATTTTACATTTTGTTTTATTTACTTATTTTTTAAGGCCGTGCCACGCAGCTTGCAGGATCTTAGTTCCCTGACCAGGGACTGAACCCGGGTTCCATCAGCGAAAGTGCTGAGTGCTAAACACTGGACCGCCAGGTAAGTCCCAGGACCCTTGTCCTTTTAAATAGTGTACTATCTCCAGGACAGCCAGGACCCTGATGTCTCAGCGCCACCAATCCCGTTTTACAGATGCGGAAACTGAAGCCCACCCACCTGCCCTGGAGCCCAGAGCAAGTGGGTGTGGAACGGGGGCAGGGCCGGCCAAGGCCAGGCACCCCGCGTGGACAGGATGGACCCACCACAGGGCTAAGACCTCAGCCAGACACAGCACGGCAAAGCCAGTTCCCTCACCTGTAACACGGGTGCTGCAACAGCCCCACCCAGGGATGTTGTGAAAATTCTATGAAATGATATTAAGGGGCACTGGGCCGGCACAAAGTCGGGGCTCGCTGAGAACAATGACAATGCGAGTCATTGTCTATTATTTTTACTTTTTAGCAACAGTAGCACCTTAAAGTCACCCTCCCCTGCCTGCCATCCCCCATCTGGCCAGCAGAGGGCGCCGGGGCTCGGCCCGCCCCTTCCGGAAGACGTACCTTTGGGCGTGCCCACCGGGGCCTGCAAGAAAGAACGGAGAGGTCAGGGGTGCCGGCGCCCCCTCCCACATGACCAGCGTCCCACCTGCCGAGGCCGGAGCCTGGGGAGGGCCTGGCTGAGCGGTGACCCCCTCAGAGGGGCTGTCTCCTCCTGGACCGATCCCCCAGACAGCCAGAAAGGTCCCAGCCTGCTCAGAAGCCTCCTGGGGCTCCCAGAGCTCCCAGAACGAAGTCCAACCCTTCCTGGTGAGCCCCAGGGCTTGTGCCGGCGGAGACCTACCCACCGGCCTCTCCTGCCTCCTCCCATCCCTGGCCAGCGTCCCTGGTCTCCTCGCTGTTACATGAGCAGTGTCCCTCCGCTTCGAAGGCCCTTCCGGGATTTCCACTTGGCTGGCTGCTCGCTCAGCACCCTGACCACCCAACCTGAAGGTGGCTCCCCGACCCCATCCTGGACCGTCCCTCAGGTTACCATGTTACTTACCTAGCCAGGAGGTGGGCATCGTGAGGGCAGAGACCACTCCAGCACGCAGTCTGCGCTCAATCAACCTCACGGAAAGCCCCCTCTCAACTTGAGTCCGAGCCTGGAGAACTCCTACGCAACCTTCAAAACCCGTCTCTGGGAAGCCTGCCCAGCCCTCCCATGATTCAGACACCTCACTGGGGACTCCACAGCGCCCCATGCTCCCCCACAATAGGTCCGACCACCTTCCTGTGTTTGCAGTTGCCTGATCATGCCCGTCTGCCCACTCAAGCAACAGCTCAGGGAGGCCAGGGCCTGGGTCTACATCCTCTTGGTCTGCCCCAACCAAGCCTTGGGAAACAGTGAGCGTAGGTCTGGAGGCTCCAGACTGAAGCTGTCAGAGCAGCAGCTGGAGAAGAACTGGGGCACACAGCAGGGATGTCTCCCCAGCTGCAGCTCATCTGGGGTGGGGGTAACAAGGGTGGGTGGGGGGAGAGGAGGCGTGTCCCACAGCCCCCTGAGTCCTGAAGACAACAAAGGTGGCTGGGAGACTTCTACATCTGCCTTAACACACTGTGGCAACCATGAGCTCGGGCTCCAGAGTTCCAGGGTCTGGTTTCACCTGAACCTGGTTGGATGTCACACCCGGGAATCAGTGGCTGAGCCCAGTGAAGACCACTCCTCAGCTGTGCGGCCTTGAGCCAGTCTCTCAACCCCTCTGGGCCTCAGTCTTTTACTTTTTTATTTTATTTTTTTTGGCGGCACCACATGGCATGCGGGATCTTAGTTCCCTGACCAGGGATCGAACCCGTGCCCCCTGCAGTGGAAGCGCTGCACTGGACCGCCAGGGAATTCCCTGGGCCTCAGTCTTTGTCTTCCATCTAATGGGGACGCTGCTCGCACCTGAAAGGGCTGTTGTGGGGATTAGACAGGTGATGCCTGCCTGCTGTGCTCATGAATGTGAGAAGGACGCCAAGCAGGGAAAGATCCTTTACCCGAGAAATGCTGGTTTTCCAGTGACTCATTGACCGCCCCCCCCCATGACGCCCCCGCACGGCAGGGAAACCGAGGCCCAGGGAGGCAAAGCAAAGCATGCAGGTCACGCAGCTGGGAAGTGGCCAGGCTGGGATTTGGATGTGCCACTGGCCACAGCCCCAGAGGCGGTGAGGGCGTCTGGATCTGGGCCAGCAGGTCGGCGCTCCGGGAACCTCTTACCTGCTGAGAATTCAGCACAGCCTCGGCCCTCTGGTCCTCCTGGGCGGGGCGTGGGGCCGGGGTGGGGGCGGGGGTGCGAGCAGGGCTCGGGGCTGCCGGGCTCTCCTTGGCGGCGGCCGGCAGCGCATCCGCGTTCTCCAGCTCCTCGATCTCCTGCTCCAGCCTGGGGAGGGCGCACGAGGTGACCACCCTGTCAGGCACTTAGGGTGCCTAGCACCGCCCGGCACGTCCCAGAAGGGCTTCCTTAACTTGGATGTCTTCTAACGACCTTGCGAGGTGTTCTCCTTCCCGCGCGTGGCAGGGGAAATGGAGGCCCGGAGCAGTGCCAGCAGGCTGCAGAGCGGGGACCCGAACCCAGGGGCCGGCCGGTCCCTGGACCCCTGCACCGCCCGTGCCACTGGTGACTCCTGTTTTTGCTTCCAACAGACTCTCCTTTTTTCCACTCAAATACATTTATTTTTACAGGAATCTTCATCTCTCCAGGGAAACTGGAGAAACCATGTCACCTTCCAAGTATTAGAAGATAATGGTGCACGTAAACCCAGTGAAAACAAGACAGGCGTATTCAATCCCGCCTGAAGGGTCACCTGCCTGAGCCTTTGGGCTGCAGACGTTAAAGGCACTCAGCACCGGGGACATGTTCTCCCTGAAGACTCAGGACACACCACGGGTGAGTCTGCAGCCCCCTAACAAAGTGAGCCCAGGCTGGCAGGCTAGACACAGCTGGGGTCAGCCTGGAGGGCTTCCGGGAGGAGGTGGCCAGTGGGGACACTGAGCGGGCAAAATGCAGGTGATGGAACCACTCGAGGAGTGGGTTTCCCTGTCAGGAAGAAAGCCAAGGCCCCCGAAAGCCAGCCACACAGCAGGGCTCCAGGGCAGGCCCTCCCCTGGCACAGGGCTGTACCCAGCAGGGTGGGAGGGGCAGGAGACCACCTGGCCCAGCCCCCCGGTGGCCAGTGATTCCCACCCACCTTCCATCCCACCAGCAAGAGCCGTCCGCCTGCTCAGTCTCTACCATCTCTCCCGGGCCCATTTCAGCCCCGCCTCCATCTGGGCACACAGGTCACAGGTGGGAAAATTGAGGCCTGGGGAAGGGAATCCCAGCCAACACCCTCCCACTTTCTTCCAGATGAAACACATCCAGACAGGATCCCAAGGTCCCCACTGCGGGGCCCGCCTCAGCGTCCGCTGGCTGGCGGGCTGGCCCATGCCTCTAGGGCCTTCCCTGGCCCAGCGGACACTGGAATTTTGGCCACTGGAATTTTGGCTGTCACCCCCCTCCGCGCCTGACCCCGCTGCCCCGGGAGCTGAGCCTGGGCCGCCGGCCGGCCTGCCCGCCCGGAAACTCCTCCGGGCCTTTTGTCCCAGCCCAGGGCGATGGTCACTTTCCCCGGCCTGCCCCCTCCCCCGGCTTCCTGCAGGCCCAGCTGCAGTGCCTCCGTGGTGGCTCCGTCAGCGCCGGGAAGAGCCAGCTGGGCTGGCGCCAGGAAGCCCAGGGGGAGGCCGCGTCTCCCACGCTCAGAGATGCACCATCGCCCTGCCTCCTCAGGCCTCTCACACCTGCCCGCTGGGGGGTGGAGAGGAGGGGGGGTCACACAGGCAGCACAGCCCCCCTCCCCGAGCCTGGGTGGGAGGCTCCCCCCACAGCGCCCCCTCCACCCAGGCACAGGGGCCCGCGGGTGGATCCCACTCCTTGGGCATCTCACCGAGCCCTCCGCGGCTGCCGCGGCCCCACCCACCTGGAGATGGATTCTTCCAGCAGTCGCGCCTTCTGCTCGTCCTCCTGCATCTGTCTCCTCATGTCCTCGTCCCCCTCCGAGGCTGAGGACGGCGTCCCCGCCAGCAGCCAGCGTTCCCGCAGTGCCTTAGACTGGGACAGTGGGGACCAAGGTCAAAGTCAGGGTCGGGGCTGGGGTCAGGTTGAGGTGGGGGTCAGGGTCAGGTTAGGGTCTGAGTCGGGACCAGGATCAGAATAGGGGTCACCTCGGCCTTCCTGCCCCCCCCCTGCTCCGGCCAAGGCCGGGGTCCCTGGACGCTGCCGCCCCCTCCCTGGCCGAGGCTCCGCCCGGACCTTCAGGTGCTGCAGCTGCCGCCGGTCGTCCTCCAGCTGCCGGCGCCTGTTCTCGATCTCCGCCTGCCTCCGCCGCTTCTCCTGCCAGACAGACCACGCGGTCAGGGCGGGCGTGGGGCGCGGAGACCCCACAAACGCCCAGTCTTTGCCCACACGGATCCCGCTTTTTCTGTAAATGGCACCCCACTGGCCCCCCCCACCTATGCCCCAGACCGTGCCCTCTACCTGCCCCCCTCCTGTCCCCCTCCACCTCCCCGCAGCTTGTCCCCCCACCTTCCCCACCCCCTGACCTTGGCATAAGGTTGAGGTCCTACCACATGCCAGCAGTCTCCCCCGTGCAGGTGGGCTGCCCAGGGGCTCTGAGAGGGCTCTCGGCCTAAGAGGAGTCCACATTCTGAGGCCCTGACCTTCATAAGGTTGAGGTCCTACCACATGCCAGCAGTCTCCCCCGTGCAGGTGGGCTGCCCAGGGGCTCTGAGAGGGCTCTCGGCCTAAGAGGAGTCCACATTCTGAGGACTAAGGGGATCTCGACATTTTCATTTTGTGGGGAAGTGCCAGCAGGCACTCACGTTTCCCACTCCACACTGGGGCTCTGCGTCCTGGAGCCCCAGGCTGGGTGTGGGGAGCCCCTGAGACCCCAGGTCCCCCCAGCCACCCCCCACTGGCCACACCATCCTCGGGACCAGGAAAAACTCACTGCAATGGCCTGGAGCCGCTCCTGCTGGGACGTGGTCTCTGCCACCAGGACCCTGGGGGGACAGAAAAGGTCAAGTGAGGTAGGGGGTCCACCCCAACCCTGCTTTTGGCAGATCCAGTTCCAATCCCCACCCTGTGTCTTCCTGCTGGGTGAGCCGGAGTTTCCCATCCGCGGCATAGGGCCATTACCCACCCCGCTCAGAGGCACCAGCCTCCTCTCCCTGCAGCCTTTTTTTTTTAAGTCTTTATTGAATTTGTCACAATATTGCCTCTGTTTTATGTTTTGGTTTTTTGGCCAGGAGGTATGTGGGATCTTAGTTCCCCAACCAGGGATGGAACCCTCACCCCCTGCATCGTGTTGGCTTAAAAAAATATATATTGGGCCTCCCTGGTGGCGCAGTGGTTGAGAGTCCGCCTGCTGATGCAGGGGATACGGGTTCGTGCCCCAGTCCGGGAGGATCCCACATGCCGCAGAGCGGCTGGGCCCGTGAGCCATGGGCGCTGAGCTTGCGCATCCGGCAACGGGAAAGGCCACGACAGTGAGAGGCCCACATATCGCAAAAAAAAAATATATATATATATATATATATATGCACAACGTGAGAGTTGCAAGTTAAGTTTTATTTGGGACAAAATGAGGACTGCAGCCCGGGAGACAGAGCTTCAGATAACTCTGAGAAACGGCTCCGAGGACGCGAGGCGGGGAGCCAGGACATCTAGGAGTTTTGCAACAAGGGCAGGTAGTCGGGAACGTCAAAAGATTATAGTTAATTACAGAAAACCAGGACTTCCCTGGTGACACAGTGGTTAAGAACCCACCTGCCAATGCAAGGGTCACGGGTTCAAGCCCTGGTCCAGGAAGATCCCACATGCTGCGGAGCAACTCAGCCTGTGCACCACAACTACTGAGCCCGCGCACCTAGAGCCCGTGCTCCGCAACAAGAGAAGCCACCGCAATGAGAAGCCCGCGCGCCGCGATGAAGAGTGGCCGCTGCTCCCGCAACTAGAGAAAGCCCGCGCGCAGCAACGAAGACCCGACGCAGCCAAAAATAAATTTAAAAAAAAACCTATATGTCATAAAATAACCTTAAAAAAAAATAAAAGTAAAGAAAACCAGATATCTCAAGTTAAGGAATTTAGCGCTTTTCCACGTATGGGAAGATGCAACAGTCTGGGCTCACTGAAACCATTCCTTTGATATGCACCTCAGCTATCTGGGGCCAGTATCCTGACACATCCTGAGTTTCCTCAGGGCTCACCGCAGGGAATGGCTGCAGTCTGATGGCTGCTAGATGGCAGGTATTCTTTTTAGCCCTGAGTTTCCTGAGGGCTCACCGGCTCACGTTGGAGGGTTGCAATCGTTGATGACTGTGACATCCTTTGTTTATTGATATGGCAGGAAATATTCCATTTATAAATATTCCACTTATCAATTGGAAGAGGGAGTCCCAACCACCGGACCACCAGGGAAGTCCCCTCCGAGCAGCCTTATTCCCGCATTAACTCCTCCCAACAAACCCTCCTGCCACCCCTCGGGGCAGGGCCAAGGGACCTGAGGAGTGAGGCCCAGTCTAGAGACCTAGGAAGGGCATTGAAGCTGGGCTTCTGAGGATTCATAGGAGTTCTCTGGGAATCAAAGCGTCTCAGGAAGAGCAGTATCACCTTCCTGCTCAGACGGACAGCCTGACCGAGACCGCCCCCTCCTCAGCCTCAGCATTCTCCAGTCCTGGGAGGGACACTTCGGGGAGGAAGGACCCTGAAGCCCCACCCCACAACCTTTGGCCGGCAAAGTCCTCGAAGCTGTCCTGGGATTTCTGGCGTTTCTCACACTCGCCTCACCTGGAGTCTCCCAGGACTCCAAAAGGCCCAGAGACAGCTGTGAGCCTCCAAAAACACACAGCAAAAAAGAAGCAAAGCTGAAATTCAACGCCAGACTCCCTCCTCATCCCATCCATGTTTTGTTTGTTTGATTTTTTGCTGCGCCACACAGCTCGCGGGATCTTAGTTCCCTGACCATGAATTGAACCTGGACCCTGGCAGTGAAAGTGCTGAGTCCTAACCACCGGACCACCAGGGAATTGCCCAATCCATGTTTTCTGAGAGCCCATCCGGTGCAGTTTTAGCCTTAAACTGGTATGCAGTAGGAGCTGGATAAGTGTCAAGTGCCCTTAAAGGGACAGGACTTCATGCTGTTGAGGATCTGGGGCCTTCTGTGGGGGCACGGGGCCGGCAGGAGGCCCAGGACCTGGAGGATGAGTCATCCCTGCCCCTCCTCCCTGCTCTCCTGCATCCCCCCGCCCCACCTGGCGGGGGAAGAGGAGCTTTCAGAACCTGACGCTTCCCTTCCTGGTGGAAGCTGCACACAGTAGGTGCAGTGAAATCCTCGGGCCCCTGAAGCCCAGAACATCCTCTCCAACGGTCCTCAGAATAACCTCACGCTTCCAGGGCCGCTGTGACAATGCAAAAGGGGGGCGGGGGGTGGAGGGTCTCGAGCCCAAGCGGGGGGGCTTTGGGACCGTCTGCCTCAAATCCCCAGTGACCACAGGGCCACTCTTGGAGGCCCCGTCTCATGGGGGAGGGCCTGACGGGCACGAAGGGGTTCTGAGCAGTGGGAGCCACAACCCCCCACCTGTCCCCCCCATTTGCCCCGAGCCCCTTATCTTCACGGGCACGGCAGGCACTGAAATTACAGACCGTGCTTTGGGCCCTGCCCACTCCTTGGCCTTGTATCAGGGCCACCCCGAGGCCTCCACAGACCCTGTGGGTCTGGCCTCGGTTTCTCCATCTGCACACCCCAGCTCCGGATGCTCCTGTATGTCTCCCGCCCCCTGTGGCTCGGAAGGGAAACAGGCCCCAAGTCGCAGAGCGCTCGGGGTCTACCCCAACCCAAGCCCCCGCCCCCAGCCTCCCCCCCACCCCACCCCACC